TTTTTGATTTTTCAAGACAGGGTTTCTCTGTGTAGTCCTGGCTGTCCTGGAACTCACTTTGTAGACCAGGCTGGCCTTGAACTCAGAAATCCGCCTGCCTCTGCCTCCCAAGTGCTGGGACTAAAGGCATGCGCCACCACTGCCCAGCAGAATTTTTCTTAATTGACATTCACAAGCACTGAACTCAAGAGATCCGCCTGCCTCTACGTAATCACAAGTGATTGGATTAAAGTTATGTGCCACCATGTTGGCCAATTCTGTATTTATGATATACTTGGGGGGGGAGTTCACAGTTGTTATAAGTTCTTAGTGATCCATTCCCCTACAAGGTACACAAGTCTGGTTCATAGTGCTTTACTGCAGAGTTCATCAAGACAAATGAAAACATAATGGTTCAATTTTATAGTACTTGGTATTTGTAATCAATCAATGAAGGTGAGGTGTAGGTATTCTCATACAATAAAGAGATGTTAAAGACAGTTTGGGGGGAAAAAAAGGTTGGCTGCAATGTCTGCCAATTACGTATCCATCCCTCTTCATGACTTGCCCATCAAGGCATAGTAACTGCCAAGTGGTGGTAATTGGCTTTGATCCCAGCACTCAGGAGGTGGAGGCAGAGGCGGAGGCAGGCAGATCTCTGAGTTTGAGGATACCCTGAAACCTGGTCTACAGAGGGAGTTCCAGTTCTTTGTATAATGGCCCTGCACACCTTGTTTGGCCAATCTTCTAAGTTTTATTGAAAATCTGTGAGGTCTCACAAGATTCTCATCAGAACTTAAGTCTCACTAAGTTCTCTATTAAGACATGTTCTGCTTGAATTCTTTATTATTTTTAAAATCTTCTCAAAAGAATAAGCCTGGGAGAAAAAAGCACCATCAACAAATGCCACTTACTTTAAGTAGTTCATACATATAAAACCGGATATCAAAGTCAGTCAGGATCTGGTAGAGTTGCTGAAACAGATTTTAGAAAGCAGGAAGTTAGTTTAGTCTGACTGTATTCTGATATTCTAAATACTGGCCTTGTCGTGCAAACTTAGTACTTAAGTTACAGACACCCACGAGTTCACTGCCTGACCTGGAAAGGCAAAGATGAGGAGTCCACCATTTCCACCTTCAATAGAGAAGGGGGAAAGGAAGGAGTACTGGGAGAGGAAACACTTCAATGAAGTGTTCCACAATTTCAGGAACCATGGCCACACTGCTGTGAGGTCCAAGCTGTTGAACTATGCACATATTCTACTGCACAGCAAGCTGAGCCCACCCCATACACAGCACACCTGGGGAACTACTCCAGGGGATTCAGAGTAGTGTTAGGGGACAAAACATTTTGTAAAAGAAACAGAAGAAAAGGGAGACATTTGGAGATAGCAAGAGACTTTCCAAAAATCTAAGCTCTGTTTTCCAACAAACAATTCCAGGCTGAAAAAAAAAAAAATAGATTTCACAGGTCTCACAGCCTTTAGTCCCAGCACTTGGGAGGCAGAGGCAGGCGGATTTCTGAGTTCGAGGCCAGCCTGGTCTACAGAGTGAGTTCCAGGACAGCCAGGGCTACACAGAGAAACCCTGTCTCAAAAAACCAATCAATCAATCAATAAATAAATAAAATAAAAATAAAAAGACAGCTGTGTCAAACATGACCACAAGCCAAGGTAACTATACTCATGGAAACTTTCATTACTGATAATCCAGAGATCCACCTCATGGGGGGTTAAAATAAGTTTCAATTTCTTGGAGAAGAGTCCCAGTACTGAAGCTCAGTCAGATACTATGCATCACCTTTGATAATCAGTTCCAAGTAAGTTTCCTTTCCTCTCAATCTAGGGAGCACTTTCTACAAATACAGTTAGCTGGGACAGCTTTAAACTTTCACTCTATTAGAAGACTCACACATTATGGAGTACAGAATGAATATACACTGTGATTCTATAAAGAGAAAAATAAAACTGCTTACTGGCAGAAATGACAATGAAACTAATAAAAAGTGTTTTCCAAGCACAGGGTTAGAAGAAAAGGCCACCCCCAACCCCTTTGGCCTCTAGGGAAGAATAACCTGCCCATCCAGCTTAGTAGGAATATGTAGCTCTACTGGCCTCAGACAGCTGCTGGCTCAGACCCACAAACTGCTATGTTGCTAGGGGCTCAACCCTTGGCGGCCCTTGAGAGTTGAGCTGTATGTAAGCACACTTACCATTTCTGCCAGGGACTTTCAGCTTCCTAATGACCAAACCCAAGGTTTCTGTCTTCCCAGACTTGTGCTTCAAAGCAGCTTTCTTATCTAGTACTTTGTCACAACTTGCAACCAGGATGTACAGGTCTAAGCTTCAGATACCAACTTGGGTGAGATAGATCAATTGTACAGGCTGTGCTAAACTGAACCATGAGGTCAATAAATAGCCCACAAAAGAGAAAAGACCAAATCACAAGCTCTCAGAGTGCTAACATTTTTATTTCCAGAAACCAATGGGCTATTTTATTTGAACCTTTAATCTATAAAAGGCTTTTCTTCTCATATCATGTACTAGCTATATCCATCATAGTATAAAGGGCTTATGGCATAAAAAAATGTCGTTGGGCTGTCAACAAAGTATTTCTGATTATTGCTATTGAATCAGTACCAATTTTACTTAATATGAAAGACATTACCTACACAACAGTGCTTGGATTTATTCCATTACAAAGCCTTGAATGGCTAGCCACCACTCATCGTGACCTCCTTTTCCCCCAGGAGTTCTTTGTGGGAGAAGTTTAAGCTCCATTTGCCCAAGTAACCGCTTCTAATTAAGGCCTCTTCAGGGCAACCTGGCTTCCTTTAATAGTTGCCACAATCCCCAGCACGGGCTCCAAGAACCCCCCTCTCTGAAGATACCAACATGTATCTGCCTTTCACTGTCCTTTCCAGTGCTCCCCTCCCAAAGCATCCTATCAGCTTTCTACAGCGGACCAGGAGTTTCCCTTCTTTGAATCTTAGGCCATGCCATGATCTCCCTCTGAAGCAATGGTTCTCAACCTTCCTGGCTAGTGCTGCAGCACTTTAATACAGTTTTTCATGGTGTGATGACCCCAACCATAACATTATTTGGTTACTACTTCCTAACTGTACTTATGCTGCTGTTATAAACTGTAACGTCAATATCTGATATGCAATGCCCAAATGGGTCGCAATGCACGGGTTCAGAACCACTGGTCTAAGGTGTTGACAGCAAGCACAGCGATCCCCAGAGGCCCTAGAAATTAGCACCAGGTACTGGCAGCAATCTGGAGTTCTAGAAGTAAATCCTTACTGTTGTAAACAAAACCTATCTCTAGCCTAGAGCTCTGAGTTCATGCTGCCTAAGTGCCTGGCTATGCACATATGTTGAGGGAAACAGGTGCCCTCAGCTGATGGTGGGCACTACTGTGATGATTCAGGATCTCTGAACTCTCCCCACTTTCCCAAATATAACACGTCATGGATCCAGTGCACAGCTGTAACCTACACCCATTACCTCTACCAAATCCTCAAGCCAAGTCCTCATACAGCAGGACATATAGCAGGTCTAGCTCCTCCACACTTGCTTTTATAATGCTTACCACTTAGTGGGACAAAACAGAACCTATCTTCCAAGAACTAACAGAGTCCATTGGAAGTCAGAAAGAAAATCTTCCGCAGGGCAGTGGTGGCGCATGCCTTTAGTCCCAGCACTTGGGAGGCAGAGGCAGGCGGATTTCTGAGTTCGAGGCCAGCCTGGTCTACAGAGTGAGTTCCAGGGCAGCCAAGGCTACACAGAGAAACCCTGTCTCCAAAAACCAAACAAAAACAAAAACAAAAAAAACCCAAAAAACTAAAAACCACATCTTCTTCCCTCCAGCTATTTGGAGAATATTATTAACTAAGCAACTGCAGAATGTTGGCAGGACGTAAACAGTTTGCACATTTGCCTAAAGAGACTTATCAAAAACAAATCGGGCGTTGGCGGCTCACGCCTTTAATCCTAGCACTTGGGAGGCAGAGGCAGGCGGATTTCTGAGTTCGAGGCCACCCTGGTCTACAGAGTGAGTTCCAGGACAGCCAAGGCTATACAGAGAAAAAAAAAAAAAAAAAACTAGCCGGGCGGTGGTGGCGCACGCCTTTAATCCCAGCACTTGGGAGGCAGAGGCAGGCGGATTTCTGGGTTCGAGAGTTCGAGGCTAGCCTGGTCTACAGAGTTCCAGGACAGCCAGGGCTACACAGAGAAACCCTGTCTCGAAAAACCAAAAAAAAAAAAAAAAAAAAAAAAAAAAAAAACAAAAAAAAAAAAAAAAAAAAAAAAAAAAAAAAAAAAAAAAAAAAAAAACAAATCAAGCCCATGTTTCCCAGAAGATTATGAGCTCACAGGTAAAGGCACTTGCTGCCACAACCAATGACCTGAGTAAAATCCCTAGGACCCATATGGACAAAAAAGGACTCACTCTTGCAAGTCAAATTTCCACACATTATGACATGTGTATACTCACACAGATGTACGCACACTAAATGTGATAAAGTGAAAGTAGTAAGGAAAAAACCTCTTTCCCATTCCAATTCAGCTGCAAAGCCTCAACCACACTCAATGTTTCTCTGAAATCAGTTCTACTACAAAAATAATCTAAGAAGACTGGTTGAATATATCTTGGGCTTTAAAATAAACCTTATGTCTGAAGAAGAGAATGTAAGACACTGAAATTTGATAACCAGGCCTCAGGTCTCCTATGCAAAGTCACAGACACACAAGGAATGGCCACATTGGGTCTCACTTACTCCTATGCACGAAAGCAGATGGTTGTGAGCTACCATGAGGTTGATGGGAATTGAACTAACGACCTCTGGAAGAGCAGACAGTGCCCTTAACCACTGAGCCATCTCTCCAGTACTTATAACATTCTTACTTAACGCACAGACAACTGACATGTCTCCACAGATACCTTTTCCTTTAGACCTGTTCTGAGACATGATATTCCTATGCAGCTCAAGGTGAGCTAGAACTTGCTATGTAGCTCAGGTTGGCCTTGAACTTAGAATTCTTCTATCTCTGTCTCCCAAGCACTGGGATTATAGGTGTGTGCCACCATATCCAACTCTTGAGAACTTTCAAGTTGAGGTATACACTGTTAAGTGGTCACTTTTAACTCTTAAGAGATGACTTTGGGGCTGGTGAGATGGCTCAGTGGTTAAAAGCACTGACTGCTCTTCCAGAGGTCATGAGTTCAAATCCCAGCAACCACATGGTGGCTAACAACCATCTGTAATGATATCTGATGCCCTCTTGTGGGGTGTCTGAAGACAGCTACAGTATACTTGCATATAATAAATAAAAAAAAAAAAAAAAAAAAAAAAAAAAAAAAAAAAAAAGAGATGACTTTGCCATTAAAAAAAAGTTTTGCCGGGCAGTGGTGGCACACGCATTTAATCCCAGCACTTGGGAGGCAGAGACAGGTGGATTTCTGAGTTCGAGGCCAGCCTGGTCTATAGAGTGAAGTTCTAGGACAGCCAGGGCTACACAGAGAAACCCTGTCTTGAAAAAACCAAACAAACAAAAAAAAGTTTTATCTTTTTAATGGGCTACTATGTTTGTTTTACTATTTAACTTTAACATATAGGAAACAGCTGGTGGCTTTAAAGGAGGAACTAACCAAATTAGTACCTCTACCATGAACTCAAACACCAGGAAAAAATGATTAAGGTCACGAGAACTAACCGTCATGGTTAAAACATGACCACATTAGAATTAGTGAACACCAACAGATTCCAAAGAACCAGCACTACATAGGCTGGGTATCTAAGGTACTTGGGACCCAAAGTGTTTCTCCTGTCAGTAATTTTCAGCTTTTAGAATCTTTGCATCAGCATAATGAAATATCTTGGTTCTTAGACCCAAGTCTAAACATAAAATTCATTCACGGTTTTGTTTTGGGGTTATTTTTCATATAGCCCAGGTTAACCTCAAACTCCCTTTGGCTTCTGTCTTTTGAGTGCTGGGATTAGAGGCCCCAGCCACAACATGTGGCCAAAATCCATTTGTGTTTCATAGCCACAGACCACAAAGCTAAGTTCATACCTTTGCTTTTGAGACAGGGTCTTACAATGTAGTCCTAGATGGCATCCAACACAGAGATCTACCTGTCTCTACTTCCCAAGTGGTAAGATTAATGGTATCACATCCGCTTATTCAAGATTTTAAATAGTTAAAAACTTTCATGATATGGTTCCCATTTTCTGCTTTGTGAAACACCCCACATGTGAGACGTTTAGACTAGGGACGCACAACTGGACGGATCATACTCTCTGGACACAGTACAGCCAGATTAGGAACCAACAAAGACTTTCTGAACTGCCCAGTTGATCTTGAATCATATGCTCTCAAACATGACGTCTCTTAGAAGACATCATGGGGGACAATAGTTACTGAGAATAGTGACATGATAGTAGATGGGTTACAGTGTAAATAACTAAATGTCTTGGATTCTGTGACTACACAGGTAAATGCTCAGGTTCCATTAACAGCACATAATGTCCAACTGACTACAAGATGACTCAGCAAAAAGATGAAGCTAGTGATGGTGGAACAGCAACACATGGACACACTGACTGGCCCACCTGGCAACGGCTGATAGTGGCCACTGTGTGGACAGTCTGGGAGAAAACCCATAGCCCACAGGCTCAAAATTTGCATTTTGAATTCAAAATCTGTCATCTAACATTAACAAACAAGAAGTCAGGAAGAGAGCCGTCTTGATTTATACACCATGTGTACGTGTTTAGAGACAGCAGTGAGGAAAAACTACCCAAACTACCTTTAGAGTTGCAATATATCCTAGATATCCAAATGAGACATCTCCATAATGAAAGGAAACTTACAGATCAAAGCTGATTACCAATGGTCCAATAAAGAATCACTAAACAAGCTGTGTACACTGCATTGTTGCTTTTATTTTGTCGTGTAGTACTAGTGATCAAACTCGGCCCTGGGCGTGCCATGCTAGGGAGGTAAGTGCTAAGTAAACACCCATCACCAAGCAACTACAGAAGCCATGTCGCTGATGTGTCGCCCTGACATTCAGCCAGGACAAATACTCTCTGTAGAGTACTTTAAAGCCAGTTATTAGTACATTTCAGAGTAAAAGGGAAATGATGAAAAAGAAAACCAAACTTGCCCACTAAGGTACACACAAGACAAAATAAAAAAAATTCTTCTTAAGGAAATAAAGATAAACAGATTACCAATTGGTGACATGTCATCCTACCTAGAATACAAACCATCTAAGAGCCATCATTCACCCTTCCAAAACACTCATGTTACCTGATATTTAGTGTTCTTTTAGGGTTAGGCTGACCAAAATAGCATGGTTCAAGGTTCAAAGGGGATTCCTATCCCTCTGCTTCACCTGAAGGTCCTCTAAAGTCACAGGTCTGGGAGAGATAGACTCGAGAACTGGGAGTGAAACAACAGTCTGAAGTCAGAAAGCATGTTCATAGACACTATAGACTTAAAAAGCTGGAAGTTCAGGCAAACAGTGAGGAGCCCACACAGCTTCAAACTAAGATGCACAGAAAGGTCCAGAAATGGACAGATGCAGCTGTGTCTGAAAGCAAGCGAAAAACAAGCTGTGAGCTAGCACACCAACATCTCTGAAATCTGCACGAGACCCTAGAGCACTGGAGACCAGTAAGACTCAACAGCCAAGGTATCCCAACGACAGGTGGTGACTGCCTTTCGAGCACGACTCCAAAACAGTAGCAGCAACTGTCAGAAACAATGAAATCGTGACGAAAAATAATGAATGGCATGGGGAGAAGATGCAACCATTTCTATGAGGAAACAGATATTATATAAAGTGTAAGAGAACAGAAAACTATTTTTAAAAATTCAGAGACTGAAATGGACTTCTAAAATACAAAATCTAACATTTGAATTATATTCTAGACAGTGAGAAGAAGAAAGGGGGGACAAATCAAAGAACACTGAAAATATGGGAAGCCATGAGCTTTCAGATGGAAACTACTCAGCAAGAATCCAGAACAAAGGATGAAAGGTGCCCACAGGAAGGCACATGTTTGAACATTCAGAAGACTGGGAACGAAGAGAAATTCCTAAATACTTCCAGAAAAATGAAAGAGAAATCTTTAGATCAAACAGGAATGGCACCAATGCTGACACTGGAACAAACTCTTCAAAACAGAAGAGATCAGGAATTCAACACAGAATTATAGTGAAGACGTGAGTGAAGAGGATAAAAGATGTTCTCAAATATGCAACTTTCAAATACGACTGATTCCCAATGATTTCTTTAAATGCACATCCTTCAAAAGGATATTCTTTAAAACACTATCCATGTCTTCAGAACACCTCCTTTAAAGGTTCAGATCCCAGAGAAACAGGCTTCCCAGGACATTAGAATTTGTTAACTCCCCACAGAACCTGACAGATACCACCTCTGAGAAACACAAAATGCTGGTCACTGATTTTACCTGTAAAGGAGTTACAATAAAAACATTTGTTACATACAGTTCTAAAATTTACTACTTCATTTAAGTAAATGTATCCTTTTAGTTTTCATTAGATACCCTTAGAGAGATTAGCTAGGAAAATTATATATGCAAATTAGGTTCTTTCATTTCACCTGTTGGACACCAGCATCTCACAAGATGGTTTTATCTCTAGCCTCTTTCTCAACAATTCACAAGTGTCTGATTCCTTGCCAGTTGTAATCACCCACAAGTCCTCTCAGACCCTTGGAAATCAACATCACTATTTTGTTTTTATATTGTTTTCAAACTGTGTTCTAAAAAAGGTTTTCTTTTCATATGTCTTGATACCAGAAACCTCATTAGTAAGCTCCATTTTTAGGCTCCATGAATAAATACAATACAATAAAATAAATCCATGAACCAAGTTTAAAGCTGCACATGGCTGCTTAGTTTTATAACCCTAGTGCTCAGGAAACTGAGGTAGAAAAGCTATGATGAATTCCAGGCAAACCTGGGATAGAGTGTCTCAAAAATCATTCAATGTTTAAAACAGTCTCTTAAAAGAATGCTTCAGCTGAGCACAGTGGCATACACTGAGTACATCCCAGTATTCTGTAGGCTGAGGCAGGAGGATCTCTGAGTTTAGCTGGTCAATAGAGCAAGTTCTAGGATGGTCAGGGATACAGACCCAGGGATACAAAAACTATAGATACAAACCAACCAACCTACTCCTCAGTTTAAAATAGTATATCCTGATAAAAAATAAGACAATATATGCATCCCAGCACGAGGTTTTGTGACAGGGGTGACTCAGTAGGTTTCTGCTATCAACTGCTGCAGTCAGTGTACGTGAACACATTTAGCAGCTTCAATCCAATGGTTCCTTACACAGGGGTTCTCTTCCCACTTATCTTTTCCTTTCAGCAATGGCAGAGATCATGAAAACACCCATTAAAACTATGTTGTATAAAACAAGTGTGTTACAGATGAGGCATTACATCTCACGGGCACACAGAGGGCTCCACAGTGCAGCTAACTGCTTGAGGAAACAAGTCAAAGGGCATGAATAACTCCTCCAGATTCAAGAACCCCAACCAAGGTCTGCACTATTCGGAATCCAAATTGTCATGTGACTCACCAACACTATCCATGAATGCTTTGATTCGGAGTTCAAATGGTACCCAAGCCACTCCCTCCTACCCCCATTAACCCCATGCCAGAAAGAAGCATACACACCTTAAAATCTGTATTATTGATATATTCAAATACCAAAGCTGGTGTCTTTGACTGAAAGAGAGAACAGTGATTTTTTTTTTAGATACTCAGACAGTAATAAATGCAATTTACAGAGTCCCACCCTCAAACCTCACAGATGAAAAGGGGATTCCTAATTCAGAGACAGCCTAAGTTTTCTTGTTGTTTTTCTAGATAGATTTGTTGTTGTGTATCCATCTCCAAAGAGATCAGAAGAGGGTATTGGGAGTCCCTGGAGCTGGAGTACTAGGCAGCTGTGAGCAGACGGAAATGAGCACTGGGGTCTGAGCTCAGGCACTCTGGAAGAGTATCAAGTACTCATATGTTGAGCAATCGCTCTAGTTCTGTAAACTTTTTTTTTTTTTTAAATTAAACTTTGAAGTTTATGTCTAGATTGCTTCAAAATAAAATAAAAGTAGGAGATGGGAAAGGAGCAGGGTTATAGGATGGCACAAGGGTGACTATTGCTCAAGTTCAGTCATGATCAGGGCACACTATTTACTTCTGTGTATGTGTAAAGATTTAAAAAGGAAGATTATTCCCCAAATGATTCAGCAGCAGCCCTGAACAACTCATTTTATTAAGATTTACTCTCAGCAAGACCCCAAGTCTCCACCTATATCAAGAGCTGCTCACTTTGATCATGGTTGAGAAAGCAAGATGCATCTGACAGTTTTTATAGATTTTCAGAATCTGTTGTCTTTTTAGGCTCCTAAAAGATCATCGGGGCTCAGAGTACACAAGTGTAATCAACTTTTAAAACTTTTAAAAGTAGTCTAGCTGGAGAGATGGCTCAGTGGTGAAGGGCACTTGCTGTGAAAGCAAGAGGACCTGAGTCTAAATCCCCACAACTATGTAAAAGCTAGGTACTGTAACTCCACGCATGTGTGTAGAGACAGAAGATCCAGAAGTTCAAAGGGCACTCAGCCTAACTGAAAAGACTTCTGGCTTTCCAACACATGCACCACCATACACATATGCATAAAGCACATAGCACACAACACAAACGTTCCACACAGTGTTCAGTGTAATACTTCCTTGGAGAAATCTAGAGCTTCAAATATAAGATTTAGTTAGGTGAAATAAAATCATGCTAATTGGCAGAAATAATGTTTCAAAACTGGAAGAAAAGGAGGAGTTTTAGGGTTATAGAAATAAAATTTCATTTCAAAAATCTTTACTGCTGAGAACTTTAGCTCAAGGTTCTTAGGGAGTGGGCCATAGCACACACACAGGTCTTTACCTGGGCAATGTAGAGTTCTAGTAGCACCAAGAACAATCATTCTAACATTTTCATCAAGAACCTGACCTTTCTACAGACTCAGCCTAATCCTCTCAAATTCAGGGGCTATATCCACTGGCATCAATCTAAAAGAATAATTTTTATTTTAAATTATGTGTACATGTATGTGTTCGATATTTGCAGGTGAGTACAGCTATCCATAGAAGCCAAGTGTCTGATCCCTCTAGAGCTGGAGTTATAGGCGGCTCTTAGCTACCTGACATGGGTGCTGGGAATAAAACTCAAGTTCTCTGGAAAAGAACACGTGCTTTTAACCACTCTCAAGTCTCATGTATTATACTCACACGTTAACAAGTTACAAATACTACGTCAGGTATCAGTAACTTCAGTTAACTGAGAGGGGGAGGGAGGAAGGAGCGAGGGGAGAGAAGAGAAAGTGGGGAGGGGGCATTACAAACCATGTACTGACTCTACTATGTGCAAGGCCCTTAGGTTTAGTCCCTAGTCCCATCTCTTGAAGTCTTTTTTTTTTTTTTCCTTTTCTTTTTTTTTGTTTTTTTCCAAGACAGGGTTTCTCTGTGTAGCCCTGGCTGTCCTGGAACTCACTCTGTAGACCAGGCTGGCCTCGAACTCAGAAATCCGCCTGCCTCTGCCTCCTAAGTGCTGGGATTAAAGGCGTGTGACACCAGTTTTATGTGTCTATGTGTGTGCATGTGTTCGAGAGCGAGAGAAAGCAAGAAAGGAGCGGGGGAGGGGGAGGGGAGAGAGGAAGGGGGAGAGGGAGGGAGGGGGAGGGGGAGGGGAAGGGAGAGAGAGAGAGAGAGAGAGAGAGAGGGAGAGAGCGTCCGATCTCTTGATTGTTTATTTATGGGGGGGGGGGGGAGTCTAGCTCAGGTTGGCCTTAAATTCCCTACATAGTTGAGAATGACCTTGAATTTCTGACCATCCATTTGGCTTCCATTTTCTGTGTTCTGGGATTATAGGCACATATCACCTTGCCTAATTTATGCAGTTCTAGGGATCAAACTCAAGGCCTACATACTTATGCTATCAGACACTACCAACTCAGCTACACCCCTAAATTTACATTTTCTGTATATGGTGTGTGTTAAGCAAGCAATACCCATTTTTCTCTCAAACAGTAAGAACACACACACACACACACACACACACACACACACACACGCAACCCCCGCCCCCTCCGGGAATTTACATTCTCAAGCAGACAAACCCATTTTAACCTGAGCATTAACTAGTTCTGGGCTAGCCATCAATCTGAACTAAGCAGGACAGGATATATTATTTAATGACAGTCGGTTACAAACTTGTATGTAACAACCCTTCTCAGGCTTGATCAGGTTCCAAAAGAGAAATATTTTCTCACCCTATATTATTACTGTGCAGGTGAGCGAATTACTTAATGTTTGTTGATTTCTGTTTCCTTACAGTATGATGTTGACAACAGCAGTATCGATCCCCTGGATCATCACAGGGATTAAATAGGGGTGATGCAGCTAAGTACTCAGCACAGCACCTGGCCTACAGCACCCACTCAAGTAGCCATTAGAATATGAGGATGTCCTCAGCATACAGAAGCAAAGACCTGCTTCTTCCTCTCTAGAGAACAAGGAGATAACCAGACAGAGCAGGTGGACAGCAGCAAGAGGACACAAGTGACAGGAAGGTGATCTCAAGGATCAAAGCCTAGGCAATCAAACACTGCCATGTTTTTCCTTAGGGGAAGAAACAAAGGGAATAGTACCCTAGGATAGGTCAAAACTAAGAATATTATTTTAGGATTTCTAAAAAATTTGTATTATTGTGTATATGTTTGTACACATGTGTATGCTGGCACATATGTGGAGTCAGAGGACAGCTCTGTGGAACAGGCTCTCTCGTTCTACCCTGCCATGGTTTCTAGGGATCAAACTCTAGTTACCAGGCCTGTGTGACAAGTGCCTATACCTACTGAGCCATCTTGCCCCAAATGAAGCATTTTAACAAAAGCATTTCAGTTGTAAAAATATGTAGGTATTTTTATTTGCATATATACAATGTGAGGGGCTTGTGGTTGATGCAGAACTAAAGACTAGCAATAGGAAACAGTAAGACTTCTTTTTCAAAGGACAGGTGGCCTGAGACCTGTTTAGTTCTCTACACTAGAATCAACAGAGATTCCCAAGATCAAGCTACTAGAGTGAGGTAAGAGAATGCAAACTAGCAGTTAAGAAACTTTCAAAAGCAACAAAAGCAGAGCTTCAGGGAGCTACCTAGCAAACCTTTGTGGGCTAAATCAAAGAAACAGGGAACAAATCTTTGGTGCAGTTTTTCTATGTACATATTTAGGTTCCATTTAATGGTGATAGCTAGCTCACCACTGAGAGTAAACACTGTGTGGTTTTTCAACCCCTCAGCAGAAACTACCAGTGCCATCAGTCCATTACGCAGTACCACACGAGGTCCTGGGTGTTAACCAGCCCACCCCAATCCACTAGCACATGCCCCAGCCACCAGGCACCTACCACAGGGTCCTTTACAGTGTCAATCAGCTTAATGATATTTGTTCCACCACGAAGGTTCTCCAGAATCTTAACCTCTCGTTTTATCTTCTTTTTCTTCACTGGCTTAAATACACAAGAGTAATCAGAAGTGAGACTCCTTTTGAAGTTAACATAGTAAATACAACTTTAGTCAATGTTCAGGCAACAGCACGGATTGTTTGCTGTGTACTGTGCTGTGTTAAAGAACATGCTTAAATTACAAGAGAGGAAGTGAGCTTACCCATGGTAACCTTTTAGGTTAAACATCTTAGTTTATAGCTTATGTGGCAATCTCTTTAAGTAGTTACATCTAGGGCATTTAGCAAACTTTAACATTCACGTAGTATTTTAAAAATAAATGCATGTTCACTGATTATTGCCAAATGTGTTAAAGCTCTGAACAGCTACAGACCATGAACAAATGGAAAAACTGAAAGAAAGTGGCCAGACACCTGCTCTTCCATGACTTATATGTAATTGTGTCTTAGGGGCAAGAACCAGTTCACTGACATCAAGTTACAAACTTTTTTCCAAGCTGTTGCCTCCCATTTCCTACTGCCACTCCCACTTCCTTAATATTTAGAATCAATCAGCTCAGAGCCAGTAACTCTCCCAACAGATCTCATTCCTAGAGAGAAAGCTGTTGATCAGCAAAGGAGAAAGCTGATCTCATCCAGCAGTGACTGCTAACGGCTAAGGCACCAACCTACAAGATGGAAAGTTAAAGTTCTTAGAAATACTCCCAGTATGTGTATCATTTCCTGTCTGAAGTTAACAAATAAAAGCAGTTTTGAAAAGGCAAGTATGTCATAATCAATATAATTTATAACTAGAACAGTGTTAGACACATCAGTGAGCATGCAGTACATGCTCACTCTCTGACCGTCACCTACTGACTGAGGAAGTCCGCTGACCTCATAAAGCCTTAAGCAGGAGGGTCGGCAGCTGAGGAGCTATTCACCCAAGGTCACAGCTAACAGAAGCAGGACTCAGGCCTGGCAACCTGACCGCCCAGCAGCACCCTCTTGCCCTCTGGGCTTTTCTCCCAAGTGGGTCAAGCAAGAGACTGAGCTAAGGACATGGACTACATTATTGTTAAAGCACTGTTACTATAACAGCAAGGTAAAGAGAGAGGCCCATGGACTTTCATGAATGATAAAACAAGACCTAAAGAGCCTTGGGCTGGGCAAGATGGTTCAATAAGGGTGCTTACTATCAAGCCTGATGACCTGAATTCAATCCCTAGAACCCACAAAATCAGAAAGATCCACTCTCACAATTTGTCCTCTGACCTCTGCATGGTGTGTGCTCTATTTAAACACACACACACACACACACACACCACACAGAGACACACAGTTTTTTAAAGCTCAGAGATGACACGCCGGTTGGTCACTGAAGCACGCCTCTGAACAGGAACAGGAAGGTGGGCTAGCGGACAAGCGGCTCATTGGACAAGAGCCATGTGAGCATGAGGACCTCCGTGCAGACCCCTCAGTGACTATGGAAAAGTAGGCATGACTGTAGCGGTTGGCCAGTCTAGCAGAATAAACAGTGAGTTCTAGGTTTAATGATACAGTGTCTTCAGGGAGTAAGGTGGAGAAGGACAGACCAGGACAACACTGTCTTCTGGCCTGCTCTAGGATACCTGCACACCACATACCCAAGGCAGGAGGAGAAAAAACTGGAGAGAGCACAGTATCACCTGCAACAGTGTCCACCTGAAGAGCAAACACAGTTGTGTACTTATAAGCCAGCTGCCATACACTTCTCCACTGTGCCACGCTCCTTCTGAGCGCAGAGATCTGGCTACGTGTTCTTCCCATCCCTTCTAGGAATCTTACTTACTTGGTCTCTGTAACCACGGACTCAATGTTTGGGAGAAATCAAGCACCATAAAGCCCAATTAAAAACAGCTAGGGAAGGAAACATAAATGGCAAGTAGCTTCTAAGTCTAAAATATGCCAATGTCATGAAAAGTATGGACTAGTTCATCTAAAAAAGAAAACGAATGTAACTCACGAGCTGTGATTTTCCTTACAGTGAAGAGTGAAGAACTTGCAAATGTAAATAAAAGCACAGACTAGATAACGGTACTGGGTTAATGTTAATTCTTATTTTTAACATGATCTATAGAACTCAGTGAGAAATCACCATCTTAAGGAAAATACTACAACACTTAGGGATGACTGTGACTTACTTTCAAACAGGTCATTAAAAACACGTTAAGCATACTATATTTATGTACACACATCTGAAAACACACTTGTCTACATAAATGTGGCCGGTGTGTGCGTGTGTGTGGGGGTCTACTTGTGGGAGGAAAACTGAGAAGGATAAAGCCAGTGTTCAACCAAAAAAGCCCTCCTGCCTGTCAGCAGCCACTCACAGGGACCACAACACACACTCTGCTTCTCTGCCACTGCTGCTTTCTCCAGCCTTGTGTTGCTCCTTGGCTCCCCAGCAACACAGGAGTGCAGCTCCTGGAACCCAGAAAGACTGACTGTTTTCATCACGCCTAAAGAGAACTCAGTGCAGCTAAAGCACATTCTGATGCCCCGAGACTACCCAGACCAGACTGGGAACAGCTGGCAACTCTGAGATGGTCCAGTGGAGTCCATAGCAGCTGGAGTCCTCAGATGCTGCCATATACCAAGAAGTCGCAAAAAAAAAAAAAAAGACCCACAGCCCAAGACAGACCCCTCCAAAGCACAGAGCAGAGCCTACGGAGGATTCCAGAAGCTTGGAGAGTAAAAGAGATCCTTTAATTCTACAAATGGAACCAGTGAAAACAAGAAGATATACTAGAGACCATTGCTGACACCTTTAAAAGCTTTACAAGTTTTACAGAAAGTCAGATGCTTCGACTCTCTTTTGTAGAGCGAGGTCCCACTGGTCACCAGTTAGAGATCACCAAGCATGCTACCAGGGCTCAGATACTTATCTAATTCAGATGGTTATCTGTTTCAAGGATTCAAATAGCATTTCAAACAGCATTAGATTAGCTGTTTTCCAAACTGATTTTTTTTTTTTTAACTCGAGTAGATAAAGCAGCACAAGAGTTAACTGGCCACCCTGCTGCCACAGCCCCCAGAGCGTGGGGTCAGGTATTAGTACCATGTATGCTGAGAAAATACTTAAAGCAAAGAAAAACATTAAGTTTTACTGACAAAAACTTGTATACATCTAAAGCATTTTAAATGTTAAACATTTAAAATGCTTTAGATGTATACTCAGAAAAGAAAAAAGGGCAAAATGCCTAAGTATACTCAGAAAAAAGGGCAAAGTGTCTATTCAGAAGGTTTCCTACATGCGCAGGGCAGTGCTGGCCATCTGGAAGACCCTTGTTCAAAGTGGCCCAGATCTAAAACAAAAAATTACAACAAAATATAAGCTGCTGGCACACTGTAGAAAAGTCGACAAAGTCCATCACCATCCTACTCAGCTCAAAGCGTCACTCCTTTAGAGCCAGTGCTGTGGAGTTTAATGACAATATTCACTGCAATTCAGCTTGTCAACTTTTGCTTACCAACTGTATGTGAATCGGAACCTTAATCCAGTAAAGAAAGTATCAAAGGCCAAGCCCTTTTTAAATTATTTCCAAGTTCAACTAGATTGATAAATTCAAGACAGACAATAATAATATAGCCACCAACTTTTAAACTCTGATCCTACTATCAAACCAATGACTGCTGAACAAAGGTGTTTCATCCATCCCTTTGGATGAAGAATTTTAATCAACGATGGGTGCCAGGAATGCAGAACGATGGCAGAGGGAACAGGCTTAGTCAGGCTGACACGGACTTCCTCATTTGCATACATCTTTGAAAACCACTACATTTGACCTACATAAGAACATGAGCTAACAATGTTATTCACAGCAACCTTCCCTCTCATCTTCCAAGTCTCATCACTCTAATCACACTACCAATTCCTTGAGGGAAATTACTCTCAAAACCAAACAAGAAAAAAAATGTACAAAGGCAAAGTATAAAACCCCAATACAACAACATACTATTAGGAAAACTAATTAAAAAAAAATAAAATAAAAAAGTAGCTAGAGTGATGGTATATATGTGTAATCCTAGCAGTTGGGAGGCTGGTACAAGGGAAATTACAAGTTCAAGGCCAGCCTGGGCTAGCTAGTGAGATTTTTTTTGTCTCAAAAAAGAAAACATTAAACGAGAAAACAACATGTTGATGAGGATACAAAGAAGAATGCTCACATACTGCTGCTGACATTATAAAATGAATCAGCTACTGTGGAAACTTCCTCAAAAGAAGCAAAGTAGTCAGCCAAGCAGTGGTGGTGCACACCTTTAATCCCAGCACTTGGGAGGCAGAGGCAGGTGGATTTCTGAGTTCGAGGCCAGCCTGGTCTACAGAGTGAGTTCCAGGACAGCCAGGACTACACAGAGAAACCCTGTCTCGAAAAACCATTAAAAAAAGAAGGAGGAGGAGGAGGAGGAGGAGGAGGAGGAGCAGGAGCAGGAGCAGGAGCAGGAGCAGGAGCAGGAGCAGGAGCAGCAGCAGCAGCAGCAGCAGCAGCAGCAAAGTAGGCAACGTAGTCAGGAATGGTGGCATAGGCCTATAATTCCAGCATTCAAATCATCAGTTCAAGACCAGCCTGGGCAACTTAGAAATGCCATCTATATATAAATAAAGAGATAAATTACCATATAAATGACCAATTGCACTTCTGAATAAATACCCAAAAGCAGCAAGGCAAAAGCTCAAAAGAGGCATTTGCATGACCCTGTTCAAAGCAGCTTAGTATTGGCATCTTCGTCATTGATGAACGGGTAGATAAAAGTCCATTACTTATCCTCTAAAAGGAAGGAAATTATTTCTTCTTTGAAACAGGGTCTTATACTGAAGCCTAGGTTTGCCTTGAAGTGCTGGGACTATAGGCATGCCTATCAAAAACGAAACCGTATCATATGCATATAGGCAGCATGTTAAGTCAAATACGCCAGTCATAAGCCAGATTTATGGTTTCATTTGAGATACCTGAGAGTCAAACAACAAATGCTGGTTGCTAAGAGCTGGAAGGATAGAGGATTGGGGAGCCATCATTTAATGGG